GCAATAGATCTCTACAAGCACTGCCCTCAGGACTGTTTTGTGCTATGAAAAATGCAAATTGCTCCTTTCTAACTTGCTACCCAGCCCCTCCACTGTTACCTAATCTTGTGGATGTGAGAGAGTGAGGGGAGACTGGAAAGAGGATTGATGTTGCTGGGTTTCTTGTGTTCTATGAGTAGGGTCCTACCAGATGCACAATTTCACAGATTTCACGGAAATTGTGTAATTGGCAGTCTCCCATGAAATAGCAAGTTCCCCATGAAAAAGCACGGGGAACTGGCTATGTTAAAAAAGATGAGAAAGAGCTGACAAAAAGCTGTCTTCTATAAGGGCAAGGGAAAGGGGAAAGGGAGCAAAAATTTTTAAAAAGGCCCATCTCCTGAAGCTGGGGGTGGGGTGGTGGGGGGTGGAAAGAGGTAGGAAAAGTTCCCATCTTGGTCTCCAGAAGGGGAGGAGGGGAGTGGGGGAGCAGGGAAAAGCCCACCAAAGTCTGTTGTTTTATTTTAGCCAGGTAGCTAGCTTTAGACTTCAATTGGGTGGGGGAACTGTTTAATTGCCATACTTAAACTATCTGTTTACTCAGTAATTATTGCCCTCTGCCCTTTGAAGAAGGTGATAATTACTCAGTTAACAAGCCAGGCAGCTCCAGCTAGGGCTTTCAATCAATGCCTGGGAGGGGTGGGACTTGCAGCACCCCTCAGCCAATCAGAGGCGTGGGGGGCCTGCTTTGCTCCACCTTCAAAATGGCAGCCATGATAGAGCCATGAAATTGGGGGCCCTGGCCATGTTACAGTTGTGTAATAGGTTGTTGGGGCCTGTGAACTTGGTAGGTCCCTATCTATGAGTTAATGCAGAGTGCTGGGTGAAATTGACTCTAAGCTCTGTGTCTTCAGAAAGTTTTCATCCTGATGTAAACTACAGCAATCTATTGCTGGGGGTGGGGGTGTTTCAGTAGGGATGGAGGGTTGTGGTCTGCTGGCAAAAAAAATCTTTTCTATTTCTTTCCACTCCCTCCCCACTTCCTCCCCTCTCTACATTGTCCAAGATTGCTGGTACTTTAAAAAAGTAGTGCCTTGCTAATCACCAGGGATCCTGGTTTTCTCGAATTAAAAAAAAAAAAAAAAATCCCCAATTTTCAGGTTAAAAAAAAGTAACCCAAAATCCACATTTTTCCCCATGATTAAAATTAAACACCACTATATCTATAGATAAGTAGATCCCCCACTCCCTTTCCCCTCTCCCTCCCTTCACACACATATATATTAGTGGCATTTCATTTTAAATCACAGAAAAGTGTGGATTTTGGGTTACTTTCTTACCCCCAAAATTGCGGATTTTTTTTATCAAAAAAACCCAGGGTCACTGCTGATCATATTTTCCCTGAATAGGCAATCTCTCTTTCTTCCTCATAATCAGATTAAAGTAGCAGGTGTTGGAAAAGAGCATGTGAATCCTGAGGCGGCGGCCCTGGATATTAATATATTAATTTTTTAACTTTTTAGGCAGTGATTAATGGGGGCAGTGGAGTGGTGGCTGGGTTCCCACAGCCAGTCCTGACTAGTGAAGAGTATCTTTACAAAAATAACAAGTGGCAGTTTTTGGGAGACAGGTACCCCAAATGGAGGGATAGGTTGCCATTCTCAAGAAGCCAAGCCAAGACTCCCAAAAAGCCAGGCAAACAGTTGGGAAGTGATGGGGCAGTGCCTGAAGTGACATCACTGCCCACCATAAGAATGGAAGCGTCTGTGTATGGAAGCAGAGTAGAAAAGCACTATTGTCACCATGCTGGAGCACTAAAACTTACCAAGTTGTTGTGTCGTGGACAGTCAGCTGGGATAGGCTAGACAGTTCAGCGTCAGTGGTATCTGAGCCCTCACGCCCGGATGGCTGCTAAGCCTCCTGAAAGGTGCTTCCAAACTCTAATTCCTTCCAATTCTGCAATGCCTCCCCCAAAGCTGTAGAGAGGAAAGGAACTGGTAGATCTTCTTGCTCCTCTCTGTCAGAGCCCTCAGAGTTGACCCCAAAGTCAGAAATGAAGTGGGACTCATCTTGTCATTTCCTACAGGAAACCATCTCAGCTCCTCATAGCAGGCACAAGTCAACCTCCAAGTGCCTGAGACCCAGGTAGCATCTCAGGCCTTCTTATCTACTGTGCCTTCAGCATTTTCTTCTTAGCACTGCATTGGTGCTAGTTCCTGTTGCACCCCTGAGCAGCCATTTCAGAGTTGATTGCCTGGTTGTGGTGGCTTATCTCAAGTGAGTTCTAGGTACTCTTGTAGTCCCACTTGGCAAGGAGGTCAATTATCTCTGCTGACCTCTGGCTGGTTGCCTCATGGATGCAGCAGAGGAGAGGGGCATTAACGTTCTGGGTGCAGGCCGCTGTTCACAAGTTCCAAAAGGTTTCTTCAGCAGCATTCCAACATAGGGAAGATCAACTTCTCAGGATGGGTGTCCAGCAAAATGAGGGCATTGTAGGCATTCACATCGCACAGTAAGTAGATGCAGTCACATGCCAGCCAGATCCTGTGACCCTGGAGCAGTGGAGCCTAATGCAAATCACAAAGCCTGCTCTTTGGAGCAATGAAGAGGTTTGAAACAGAGCAGCATTGGATGTCAGAGAACCAACCAACTTTCTATGGAGTTCTGTTGGAGGGTGTAAATATAACATGAAGCACTTCACAGTGCAGTGTTTCAAAGTCGTTTCTATTTTTTCTGAGGCAGAATGGCCATTTTAAGTGCTTCATTGGCAGTGTACATCTGTATCCAGACTTCCTGGAGTGCTTTAAAGGTACCTTGAGCATTTACTATGAAGCAATGAGTAGCCGCATAATTTCAATTTTTGCCATTTGCACACATAGTTTGAATTCTATTGCCATCTGTTACAGAATAGAAACACTCTGCACATGTACATGTTGCAAGAAAAATGGAGGAGGAGGAGGGCTTTCTCACCTTATAGCCTAATGATTAGCGCACCTAACAAGGGAGCAGGAAGCCTGGGTTCTAAGTTTCCCTTATCCAGAACTTGTTCGGCCCAGAGCATCTTTCATTTAGTATTAATGCAGTGAGAGAGGCCTCATTAATACAGTGAAAGGCCTAAAACCCTGGTCTTTCACTCCCTTGACAAGCACCCTAACCACTAGAATACTAGGCTAAAAGGCAAGAGGCCCTTCCCTTTCCAGAATCAAACACTAGGTAGTTGTGCTTTTTCTGCAACTAGTTTTGGCATTACACATTTCTTGGCCAATTCTATTCCATCTACACAGTCATACTGCATTATTCTTAGTGCGCAAAGGATGAGTGTAGCTATATAGAAATCCAAATTTGCATAAGTGTCAAAAATTGCAGTTACACAGCTATGTAAATTCCGTTCAGGTGCATTAGTCCTGCGTGTGAAATCTCCAAGGAAAAAAAAAAAATCTACGTAAAATGTAAATTCTACTAATTTTAAAGAAACAAGACAACTTTAGTCACTTAGGGCACCTATATATTAGTGCAGAGGCTTCTCCAACATGCTTAAATTCCAGCACATCAGAGCACGCTCAAATAACTGAGTCTGCTAGAGTGGCAATTATTGAGCTCCAGCAGCCTCCTGTGTCTTGTGTATTTGTATCTCCACACTTCAAAATGGTGGTAGGGGCACTTGAACTAAAGCTTGTCAAACAAGCTTTAATTCAAGCACTCCCACCGCCATTTTGAAGCACGGAGACACTGATACACGAGATGTGGTGGCATTTTAATTACAGCAGCTCTTGGAGCCACTCTAATTAAAGCGCCGCCCTCCCCCGCCCCCAGAGCACATGTAAAAGTTCCCTTCAAATTAATAAATGAAAAGAACTAGCAATCTGCAAATAAAATACATGCAAAACATCTAATTTTTAAAAGGATGTTATTTTATCCACCTTGCTACACTATCTGAGTCCACATGCCAAGGTTTTGCTTTAGCATGTTCTTATTTGTTGTTTTTGTTTTTATTTTAAATCTTTCTCCACTGTTGCTTTATGGAAGACTGGAACAAAAAAAGGAAAATTTAATGCTGGATAAGAGGTATATTTTTTTAAAAAGTGGAAAGCAAGTTTTCACTGATCTTTCATCTATAAGAAATATACGTGTCACTTTTAACAACACAGTGGTTTCTATACTACCTGTATTATTCAATATACTTCAATTTTTCAGATCAATAAATGTTCTGCCTTATCAAGCAAACACAATGACAGGCACTAAAATTTATTAATCTGAAAAATCAGATTAATAAGAACATTTTATAGGTTTTATCTTAAAACACTTCCCTAGTTTATTTTTCTATGTACAAGTCATATCATAACTTATGAAAGAGAATCTCTCATAGGATTCCCATATTCAAATTAAAAGCTATTTAATTCCATTTTTGTAGTACTCAACATCATAAAAGAATATCTTTCAATCTCTAAAACACAACCATGTCTGATATCTGTATAGCCATAAAAAAATCTTCTAGGTATGACAACAGAAAACAAAGTACCAGGCAAAGATTAAGCAAGGCTATCAGAAGGAAAGGGAACATTCTTCCTGGTACAGAGGCCACATGAAGGACATCTCTTTCATGGCATCCTAAAGAAAATTCATATTTAACCAAGGTCATACAGGTGACAGGAAATGCCTACTTTGATTTTCACAGGCGTCTCTACACCAGGGGTGGGCAAAATGCAGCCCATGGGCTACATGCGGCTTGCCAGGCTATTCTATCCAGCCAGGGCCCCTAAAAAATTGAGAAAATTAATATTTATCTGCCCCTGGCTGCCTGTCATGCGGCCCTCGATGGCTTGTCAAATCTGAGTAAACGGCCCTCCGCCTGAGATAATTGCCCGCCCCTGGTCTACACTAACTCTCTTTAAGGACATGATCATTTATCCACTGATTAGCAAAACAAAATTTAGGAGCTAAGTGGATACTGTTTACTGAAAATAAATTCGATTTTCACCCAGAATTAGAGAAGTAAAGCAACTGGAAGACAGTTTAAGTACCGGGATAAGTAAGCTGGCAGTATTTCCTCCCCAGTCTTCTTGCTACAAAATATTCTACACAGTGTTCCACAGGCTTCTGCTCTTCCTGATTCATAGTTGTCTGGAAATTCACTTGCATCAAACATGGGATTGGAAGCTATAGTGTCTGTGGACATTTGTGATCCTTTCCGACGAAACTCCACACTAGCTTGTGTTGCTATAGCTGGGATGAGAAAAACAAGGTTTCATTGTATTTGTCAACATACAACATAGGCTCATGGGATCCTGGACACAAAGATCAAGTCAAATTTAGTGATTATTACAAAGCTGTTAGTTTACTATATTTGAATCCCTACCTTTGTTTATAAACTATTTTGGAGTGTCTTCCCTAAGGTATGAGGAGTATTAACCCTTCTGACCTAGCTATGAGTATATTTGCTCTCAGCTTTCTGTAGTGAAAAAGTACACACTATTCTTGATTATAGCTTCTCTTATCCAGTCAGACTCCCTGCCTTGTAAACAAACCAAAAAGTCTACTACTCCTACATCCTCTCCTTCAGGAAATGATACACCCTTATTTCCTAAGCTTTATTAATACATTATGGGACTATATGAAATTGTTCCACTAATCCTACCACCAAGCTTCATGCTCTCTGACCATCTGATTTCATTTCTGTACATCTCTTAAGCACAGAACTACTACTCTGACATAGCTTCTCTGTGCATGTCATCTTTACTGCTGAAGCAAATATCCTACCTTACTGGTTCTTCGAAATCAAGAAGCAAGCAGGACATAGAGTAAGAAGACTGGCTAAGACAAATGTGCAAGGTGGGGTATGGGAACTTGTTGAAAGTCGCTATCTTGATATGATCCAAATTATTTCTATATGCAATGCCTGCAATTGCCTACAAAATTTTGGAAATTTAGCTAATTCAGATGATAGCTGCAAAGAACTGGGGACTTTCCTAGCAGGTAATTCACAACTTTAATGAACATTTTGAATAATTTCTGTAATATACTTCACAAACACTTATAGAAAAATCAAAAAGCTTGAGAAAGCCTAGTGGGCATAAATGGGGTTGCCTATTCTTTAGCTTTGTTTTCCCACAGAATGTGGTATAATCAATGCACTTCACAGTATTTCTACTAGAAATATAACACTATATGCTCCAGGTACAGGAAGCTTCTCATTTTACTTGCCCATTATTTCTTCTGAAATGGCTGCCAAGAAGATGTATAACGTGCTTGTTGGGCAGGAGAAAACAAATTTCCCTTTTGGATTTCCAAAGACTAGAATAGTACATTCCTTGCAATTCTTAGAAATGGCAATCATGACCTTGAATTACTTTTAAAAACCTAGAGGATGTCCAAATAAACAAACAAATAATCATTCTACCATTAAGAGAGACAGAATAATATAATCTTGATCAGGAGATGCTGGGGAAATCAGATTTGCAAAGAGTGACACGAGTGCCACTCACACTGCGGTCATATATATAGAAACCCTGTTTATATTTTGAAAGCTGCATTATTTATTAACTGTATGGATGGGTATGTTTTAGAAAGCTCAGAAAAAAATATGAGTAAACTATTTTTCTTAGATTAAAAATTCTTGGTGTAAAACTATCTGATATTACATTATGCCATAAAACTTATAAGTAGTAAATAAGCACAAATCTTTATGCATCTTCCCATGAGCCATTTTTTTTATCCCAAATAAGCTATCCAGCAATATACTGGAGTTGGAAAAAAACACTACATGCACAATGCATACATATCAAACACTAGGTCTGTATAAAAATAAGCTTTAAGTTAAAAAAAAAAAAATGGTTAGTGCAAAGTCCTGAAATTCATGACATGATCACAGACTAGAGTACAAAAAGATGGGACTGATTCAGGCAGATTAATTTGCTTTTGCCAACAATCTTCCCCATTCAAAAACACACACAAAAAGTTACTTGTCTTTCTCAAGTAAAAGTGCAAAAGCTACAAGAGACAATGACAATGACAATACAAATAAAAAAAATGGGATTATGAAAAAAGAAAAATAAACATGACCGCAATTAAGGAGAAGCTACTAGTTCCTACTTACAAGATTTATAAGAAAGAAGAATTTGGATAAAAGATGCTGCAAGATAATAGAAATAAAATGGAAACAAATCAAAGGACAGCAGTAGTTATAAAATACTTTAAAGATGGTGGAATCGTAATATAAGTTAAGAAGCTTTTAGCTTTTTAAAAAATAGATTAAAAGCTTTATGATACAGCAAGCTTTTTAAACACGTAAGTTATTGGCATTCGGGTCCAAAATTATGATTTTGAAAGTACCATGCAAAACAATGAACAAAGAAAGTTATAAAATTATTAGTAAAGTTTGTATCTGTTTATAGTAATGCACATTTCATCTTTACATAAATGTATTAACCCTTCCCAGCTCAAGTGAGTTTCTCCTAGACCAAAATGTATATACACTACACTAGACTATCATAAGACATGTTTACTTGGGGATAGCCCCATATGGGAACAATTACTTACCCATAGCACTGCTTGCCACAAAAATCTTCTTTTTCCCCCCAAAGCATACATTTCTAATATACTAAATGCTTTATGGCTCCGAGTTCCAGAACACAAGATAGTTAAGATCCCCTCAAACAAAAGCCAGTGTAAATGCACAAATCTGGTCTCCTCCACCTCAGTCAAGCAATTTCCAGAGTAGAAATGAAGGCAGTTTAATAACAAAGGAGGTATTCAACACCCAAGAACCAATCCCAAAAGAAAGATGGAAGAAAGAGAAAAACTCCAATACATAATTTACTAATAAGACAGATAATGATTTACCTTGTAAACTTACCTTTTTAAAACTGTTTATTTGAATATACTGGACTAGATCATGAGCTTAAAGTCAGTCCTTCAATGCTACTCTGGAAAGCAACATGCTTTCTCCTGAAGAGAATTACCACAGCTAACTTCTGTTCTCCCCCATACCACTCTCTCTGGAACAAGACATGTGTAGAAGGAGGGGAAGTGCCAAACAGGATTAGAACAAACTGTACTCCAAAGATCCCCTGCTACCTTATGGGAGATATCACCAGTCACCATACTTTAAAGAAACCTAGGTGAGCTCTTAATTCATGTCAGTAAGATGCGACTAGCTCCTTAAGTCAAATCACTGAGAATGATCCCAACATCTTCCAGAATTCATTTATGTTTTAGCATATTAGCAAGAGGTTAGGGAAAATCCTATAGATCAAGGTTTTCTTTTACTTTCAGACACAGTAAATGTGCCCCCCCACTGCGCAGTTGGTGCTGCACAGTCATTTAGTACTTGCTAACGCTTTAACAAGTACTAAATGACTAGACAGTACCCAGTGGTACTGCACAGTCCCAGGAGCACATAAGTCGTTTCCAAGGCCACTGCGCAGTAGCTCATTGCTATTGCACAGTAGCAGCAACACAGTTCGTGCCCACCAATGCTACATCACCATAGCGATGAGCTACATCACAGTAGCTAGTCGCTACGGCAACGTAGTGTCTCATGTAGATGCGCCCAGTATGTAGTAACACTATAGAGTGTAGTGACACGTTTGTTTACTGTCTATTGTGTGCAAAGATTTAAAAATGTCTCCTTCAGCAGTGGGGAGAGACTTGGGAGACTGACTTTTTTCAACTCATAAATAAATGGAGTCTGACTGGTTCTGGATCTGAAGGCAGTAAAGTCTCTTTCTCCGGTGGCTTTCCTTCCAATACAGACTCCTTGCTCCAAGATTCAGGCAGTCAGTCCAGATGGTTTCTTATGTACAGGTCCATGTAGAGTGCCAATCTGTAGATTAATAATACTAAATAATGGTAGTCTGGGGCCTCTGTCTTTAGTTTAGTCACAATAATGTGCACACTTACTATGGTGATGGCTGTATTGCATCAGCTCATTCAAAAAACTACATTTCTGTACCTGCAACTTCACGCACTGAGAAACCAAAGCATTGAAGAAGATCCCCTGCCACTGCAAGCAACACCATGTGGTGTTCCAGTAGTGTTGATGCACACTTAAGGACATCACTGAGACATCTTCAGAAACTGCTGAAGAACTGAGCCATGGCTGTTACTATGTAGCATCTCTGCAGGGAACTACTTTACCTGCCAAAAATCAAAGAAAAACTGACTCGAATGGTCAACGGACACCATTTATATCCAAGGTGGGCAACTGCCACTAAGGTATTCAGGTTCATACACTAATCAATACACTGCTAGATAATATGTGCAGGATTCCATCTAGGGAAATAATTTTCCTTCATTCCCCACACTTACTCCTCCTGCACCCTAAAAGCAATTATTTACTCTAATGACACAAATCAAACGATCAACTCAAAAGAAGATACTCATACAAAAATCTGCTGAGAACACACACCAGTCCACCAGGCTTCAATCAAAATTGACACACTAATAAAAAATAACAAAAAGTCAAAGATGAAATCAAACACCATAGTCCTTTAGTCACACACAAAAGGCATGTAACCTCTGTAACCACTACAGAAATGTAATTCTAGAAGGCAGATTATGAAGAGTGATGGATTTACGACTTACAATCACTGGGTCACAAAGAAGTAGGACTGGAAGAGAACTCAGGAGGTCATCTAGTCCAACTTCCTGTTCAAGGTAAGATTATCCAAATACCTTCCACCCTACTCTGCAACCCAGGGACTGCAAATAATTCTGAAAAATTATACACCCTAGAGCAGAGAGCCAGAACTTTCCTTTCTGTCACATATCCCTTCCATAAACTTACTCCAGCTCCTTTAGTCTCCTCTAACAAAAACGGATTGTGAAGCTCTGCTGCTGAGTGTGGTCCTCTCCAAAAATCCCATGCTCGGGGCTCCAGAGCTCTTCTCATGATTCCCCAGTGATCCATGTGTCAGAGATTCCTGAGCTTCCAATTATTGCTCTTCACAGCATATGCCAGGCATTGCTACTCCTGATTTGCCCTGACCACTACTTATCCAAGCTCTTCTTGAATATCTCCAATGAAAGATACTCCACAACTTCCCCGAGTTGTCTATTCCATTGTTTCACTATTCTAATAGTAATTTTCTTGATATCCAATCTCAACCTACTGATACAATTTCAGGCCACTGCTATACACCCTACTCTTTGTAGCAATGGACAAAAGGTATTCTCTCACTTTCTGGCAGCCCTTCAGATATTTGAAGACCATTATCATGGCCCCT